AACCTGACAGTATTACGGAAAAATGCCCGTGGTAAAAAGAAGCCAGGTAGGAAGCAGCCAAGGCCTGGGGATGTTGAATATGAATATCCTGAAGATAGTGCTGGCAAAAAAGCAAAATTGGAAGCAGACGACCATTCCGTGACAGAGGAAACAGATGATGCCCGTAATGTCCGTGCAGAGGAAACAGCTGATGTCCGTGATGTCCGTGCAAGTGTTGAATCCGTGGGTGTAACAATCACGGATGAATCACTTGGGCGGATTAATGGTACCGTAGATAACGGATGGCTCGACGATACCGTGATCGATGCTGCTCAAACCATTCTAAAAAAACAATTCCCCTTCATTGCCGGCTTTCAGCCTTGTGTCTATGCTGAAAAGCCGTGCTTTCGCCCAGTTGTTGACAATTTTATTCAAATTGTTAATACACACCCTAAATCTGGTGGTCAACATTGGATTATGTTTACAACTATGAATGTAAAATTTGCATCCTCGTCCGTTAAACTTTATGATAGCGCAATGTCAAACTCAATTTCGTCAGCCGTTCAAATGAGCATTGCTAATATAATGCATTCTCCAGAGGAAAACATAACAGTTCACTTTATGAATTCTGATGTCCAGAAAAATGGCAACGACTGTGGTCTCTATGCCATTGCAAACGCAGTAGAGATATGTTTCGGTGGACTTCCGGAAAATACTCATTTCCACACTGAAGCAATGAGGCCCCATTTGATGAAATGTATCACTGACGGAATTTTCCGTAAATTTCCGTCATCTCCGTGTAAACGCCAGCAGTCAATAGAGTTTACATTTGAGATGAAGTTGTTTTGCACGTGCAGAATGCCTGAACATGGATTCATGTTTAATTGCACTAAGTGCCGCCAGTGGTTTCATCCACGATGTCAAAATACAACGCTTAGTGAAAAACAAATTAGAAAGTCTAAAACCATCAAATGTATGGATTGTAAGAGTTCATAAATTTATTATACAAATCTTCGTTTTTAAATATTGTAACATTTTCTCCCGATAAATAAATTCCGTGAATATTACTTCACATGTTTTATTTTTATTTAGAGATCTCACGGATTATTCATGTTGATTTTTTAATGTACGGAGATGCACGGACGAATTTATCATCCGTGCAAAAAACAATCCGTGATTTGTACTATTTTCTATATTTCCGTGCAATCCGTGATTCCGTGACCTGTCCGTGTTTTGTAAACGGCGAGTAAACGGCAGTGACCATTTGGAAGTTTCCGGCGAAGTTTCAATCAAATATTTAACTGAAGTTAACTTTGAACATAAATAGACTCGTATTATCTGTTTTCAAACGATTTTCTTGAAAAGAATTACACATGAATATCAATATATTTTGCAACCATCAATTTCAATTAGAAACGGTATCACAAAACCTATTTCTCAATGCTTACTTTAGCAGTACATACAGGTGCTTGGGGACGGGACCCCCTCCCCGTGTTCCGTACCAAAAGGGTTCTTTTACTTTTTTAAAATACGGAACACGGGGGGGTGGGGGGGGGGTGTCCCGTCCCCAAGCACCAGTCCTGTGGTTTTACTGACTTCATAGTTGCAGACTTTGCAAACGTGTTCGATTAAGTAGATAAGGAGACTCGAACTTGTCTACTTTAATTGCAAAATATTTTTATGACAAAATCGTTCATTATCAATTACTTTAACAGGTTGCGCAAAATCCATCCCAATCAAGCCCGTATAGCAACGATTCTCAAAATGGGGGAATCAGTAAAAAAAAAAAAAAAAAAAGACGAGCGAAAAAAAATTTAGGCCTAGCTGTCCAAACTCTAAAATCTTACTTCGTGAGAGAATGTTATTGGACTTTTTTAATCCTCAATAATTCATATGAACAAAAAGTGTGTGGACTCGCAGGAACTCGGTGTATAAACTGAAATCTTGGAAATCATGCATTTTAGACGACATCCAAATTCATCCACCTGACCGATCAAACGGTTAACTCTGCTCCGTGTTTACAATGGTGTTTTAGAGAGAGATAGTCAATATAAAATTCATCAGTTTACTGATGATGATTTAATTAACATAAAAATTTAGATTTACCCCCTCAAACAGTCAAAGGGGCAGGTTTAATGTTTCATGATTGTCCATACCAGGGCTGAGGCAATCATCCTTTTTAAAAAGATTGTGTTTGTGAAACACTAATGCCCCCGTATGGCAGCATAGCGAAGTTTGAACTTTTCTTAAATCAAATTAATATGTTGGTACCCCAGGTAGGGTCTTCTCACAAGAAATATAATTGTGAGATATGAGAGCCTTTGCACCACCTGTTCAAAAGTTATGGCCAAGAATAAGTTATTGAAGGTCAAACTCCAGTGTCAAGGTGAAAAAGTCAAAGTTGTTGGTTCAAACTCCAAAGAAAGGCCTTGTCTGAAGGAATCATATGTGAAGTATGAAAGTCCTAGCCCTATCCGTTCAAAGGTTAGGGCCAAGGTTAAAGTGTTTAAAAAGTAGGTCAAACTCCAATGTCAAAGGGTCAAAGTTGTTGGTATCCAGTGAAAGGTCTTATGACAGGATAAAAGATGTCGTGTGTGGAAGCACTAGCCTTAATCCTTCAAAAGTTATCGTCAAGATTTGTTTTAAAAAAGTAAGTAAAACTCCGAGGTCAAGGTTAGGTCAAAAGGTCAAAGTTGTTGGTATGCAAAGGTCTTCTCAGAAGGGTTACATGTGAAGTAAGAAAGCCCTAGTCCTATCCGTTCAAAGGTTATAATCGAGGTTCAAGTTTTTTATAAGAGTGTAAATATCCAAGGTAAAGGTCAAAAGGTCTGTTTTGGGTATCCAGTGGAAAGTCTTGTCACAAAAATACCTATATGAAGTATGTAAGTCCTAGTATCTACCGTTCAAAAGTCATGACCAAAGTAAAAGTTTGGAATTTTTGTGTAAAAGTGTGTCAAACAAAGATCAAGATCAAAAGGTCAATTTTGGTGGTACCCAAAGAAAGGTCTTGTCTCAAGGAATACACATGTAAAATTTGAAAGTCATAAAATTGCTCCACTAAATCAAAAGTTATGGGCAAGGTTAAAGTTTTTGCGGACAAATAGACAAGACAGACGGAAGGACACGACAAAAACTATATAACCCCGAATCTTCGATTATGGGGGCATAAAAAAAGCAAGTTATAAGCAGCGGTTTGAATGAAGGGGGTGAAAAACTTTCGCGTTTCGCAATTAATAATGTCTCTTTGGATTTAAGGCGTTAAATGTTTTAAAGCGTCCTTTTAAAAAGCTTACTATACCCATTGCTTTCCCGAAAGCGAGGGGATATTAAATCTCATTCGACTGTCAGTCTGTATTCCTGTCTGTCCGTCACAAAAACTTCAACCTTTGTCCTATCTTTTGAATGAGAAGAGGTAGGGATTTCATATTATACATGTGTATTACCTGCGACAAGATCTTTCTAATTACACTATGATTTTTTTACCTCGTGACCTTGACCTTGAAGTTTGATCTACTTTTCAAATACTGTAACCTTTGGTCATGACTTTTGAGTGAGAAAAAATAGGGCTTTCATATCAGACCTGTGTTTTGCCTGTGGCAAGACCTTTCTAAATACACAATGATTTTTGACCCCGTGATCTTGGCCTTGAAGTTTGACCTACTAAAAAAAATCAAACATTGCTTTAAATTGGTCACAACTATTGAATGAGAAGAGATAGGGCTTTCATTAATGATGTCTTTTATCTGTGACAAGACCTTTCTAAATACACTATGATATTTGACCTCGTGACCGTGAAGTTTGACCTACTTTTTTAAAAACTTTAACCTTGGTCATGACTTTTGAATGAGAAGACATAGTGCTTTCATATTAAACCTGTATATTGCTTGTGACAAGACCTTTCTAAATACACCATGATTTTTGATCTTGTGACCTTGGCCTTGAAGTTTGACCTACTTTTCAAAAGTGGTATTTGACATGTGCATTTCCTGTGGTAAGATATTTACGAGCATGTCATGATTTCTGACCCCTTGACCTTGACGATTGACCTAATTTTCCAACAAAATCAACTTCGGTGATAATTTCTGAATGACATATGATAGGGCGTTCATATTTGACACAAAATGTCATAAAAAATGACATCCCACGCACAACGACGCCGAAAGCGGGGGGTCATAATTCTTTGAATTTGCTTGTTTGCATTGTTACACCTTTATTACGGAAGAGTTTATGTTAAGTTCTGGGAGGCCCAAAATAAGTGTCAGATCAAAAAGTAAAATAGGAGGTGCATAAAGGCATTATGTAATAAAGAATCTTTGAAAGTATCGTTAAATTTCACCCAGTGGTATAAAAGGAGTTGGGATATAAAGAGAGATGTGTATCCCAAAGCGAAACAGACGGACATACGGACGTACAGACGGACGGACATACAGACGGACGGACATCCCAATCACTATAAATTACACCCTCTCACTTTTCAAGCGGGGTATAATAATGTTATGATTGACGGTCTAATATGAAAAATTCGTTAAACATGTAAATAAATTGTACAAATTGTTTAACAATTGTCAATAATTTTTTTGTGTCTTTTTAGACTTCAGCTAATATTGTGTAACTGGGACAAGAAAATCCTTTCAATTAAAATTCACTATAGCTTGTATATACAGACTTGGAGAGGGGAGGGGGCGCAACTCTTCTTGTTCTAAAAAGATTCTTTTTCAAGAATTGTGTATGATTTCGTTAAAAATTGTCTGTCATTCGTTTCCTCACATTTGGCGTTTTATCGTGGTTGAGCTCTATAACCTTCTGTCAAATTTAAACAGAGGAGCACCCCACCCCTTGTAAGTGCAAGATCATCGCCCAGCTTAGAGAAACGAGTCGATGTAAGTGCTCCAATATTTTTTTTTCAGGAAGTATTTTAAAGAATTTTCAAGAAAAAGATATACATTATTTCCTTATTTAAAAAAATGAATACATATTACGAAACAGAAAGGAACGACTTATTTTAAAGTCGATAGGTGGCGCTCTGTTTCAAGATGGAGGATATTCGGATATTCCACTTTCTGAGACCGTAAAAAATGTTAATTTTTGCAAAAAATTAAAGTAACATTTTACAAAAATCTCCAAAAACAATAAACAATGCCAGGTAAGCGTTTCCCTTTTCAAGATTACGATGTACTTTGTAGAAGATATGACATGGAAAAGGGGCATCGGGATAATCTTTTGCACAAATTTTATGAATAAAAGGTAGAATTCGTTTATCTAAAGCATGGAATTCTGTTTATCGTTACTCTGATGTTAGGATTTTATCTTTTTAGTTCATAGGCCAATTAAGTTTAGGGCCATCTGTTGTAGTATATCCTAATAACATTCCAAGGAACAAATGAAACTGATGTCTGTTTTAAGAGTTTGGTGTTATTGGAAAATATTTGTATATATATTTCAATTTATTGAATACAAGGATAATTTTTAGGTTGCTGTGGATGTTGGGAGGTCCTTAGACCACCAAGGTACAAGCGATTGGTTGACAGCATCTTTCCTGCTAACCCACAGGTATGATAAACAAAAAACCTATTAATTTAGGTCAATAGATGGCAATCTTCTAATTTTTTAAGTCATGACATACTGGATACTAGAAAATTTTGCCATGTGTTACTTTTCCAAAAATTGTTTTAGATTTGCAAAGCCAGTCACATATCCGTGAAACTATTACTATAAAACATCTATTTTCTAAAATAATTAAGCTTCGCCAATGTCAAGAAAACAAAGTGTAGCTGTTTGTTAGGCCATAATTAAAAAAAAAATCATAGATTCTCATCCTAACCTGCTCTAATTCTTTAGATTGTCTCATTAAAAAAAAAAATGTTTTCTTCGACTGAATTCTAAATTTGGTATTGAATTTATCATTCAACTTTTGTATCATATCCTGTGAAAGACACCCTTATTTTGACAGCTGAGAAGATGGTTATTCATATTTCTGTAATATGTATTATTAGTGATGATGTGTCGTAAGAGATATACATACTGGGGTATTTTGATTGACCTCTAATTTGACTTTTATTAGGGCATAATAGATAAATATGCACTGATTAATCAGGTTAACAAAATATTCTGTACAATGAAAGAAATAAACAATGTATAATTCAATCTGCCCACCTGCCTCAATTTTTTGAAAAAAAAATTAGAAGATTAGAATTGGTAATTTGTTTATAAGTCCCTTTAAATAAATTTTGATATAAAAAGGTGTGCAGAATAAAATTCCAGTTTAATTCATTGTTTTGTTATTTTAAAAAAATGTTCTTAGGATGGTTTGGTGAAGAACAATATGGACAAATTAATATTCTATGCCATGACTACATCTGAAAAGTTGGACAGGATTGGAATGTATCTGGAACAGAAACTTAGTAGAAGCATCAGCAGGCATAGGATTGGGTATGATATGCTGCTAAATTGTGTTGTAACTTCATCAAGTTCTTTTAGAACTTTAAGTGCACAATTATTATCAGTTTGACATATAAGTGAGAAATTTTCCATGTATTTCAGAAGTAAATAGAAATTTACTGTAAAAAAAATCTAAGAATGTTGACATTTTTTACTTCAGGTTTGTTTTTGTGGCCATGGATGCCCTGGACCAGCTGCTGGTGGCTTGTCATGCCCACTCCCTGAATCTGTTTGTGGAGAGTTTTCTGAAGATGGTACAGAAATTGTTAGAATGTGAGGAGCCTGAGCTTCAAATCCTAGCCACCCAATCAGTAAGCAACTACAATATTATCAAAATGGATTTTACTCATTTATTTGAATAAATTTTGTTAACAACAATAGTGTACAAAATTTGTGGGAGCCTGCTCACTTGAGTAACTTTGCTACAGGTTTTCAATTTTATATTAAAATGAGGAATTCAGGCTGTTTAGAATTTTGGGAATTTTTTTAAGGCCGAAGAAGTCCCTATGGTATACTATGAAGTGTATGCAAAGTCTTATTTTTTTTCAGTTTATAAAGTTTGCTAACATTGAAGAAGATACTCCATCTTATCACAGAAGATATGACTTCTTTGTGTCCAAGTTCAGTGCCATGAGCCACAATAATAACCGAGATGAAACCATCAGGGCAAAGTAAGTATGAACAGTATTGTTGCTTTGAAATTATAAAAATCTGTCAAAACTTTCTTTAGCCTGAAGTTTAAGCATTTGCAGCATTTAAAACGGATATAACTACTAGATATAAATTTATTAATTTTCATTACATTAGACAACATTTAAACTAAAATTCTTTTAATTTAGGTTATATGTTACAATAACAAGTGTACTTTATTATGGAAATTGTAATTTTCCTCAATGTATAGACAACTGAGACAAAAAGAAATAGAGGCATGAGTTTTTATGATAGATCAGTAATACCAGTTGTGTTTATTACAGGTTCAGAGGTGCTGGACTTCTGGGTTTACAGGGAGTGGTCAGAAAGACGGTCAGTGATGACCTACAGGTCAATATCTGGGACCCTGTACACATGGACAAAATTGTTCCCTCTCTCCTGTACAACATGCATACACCTGAGTGAGTTCTATATTATGGAGGACCATTTTAAATTCACATTTCTGTATGAATTTTAAAGATCAGTAATCAACAATTGTTTTATTGAACTTGTGGAATTTACAGGATATTATACATTTAATGTGAATTTTCAGTATCACATATTAGCATTTGTTTCATTGAAGATATAATTTAAAGATATTTGCATGATAATTCTTAGGAATAAAAACCAGTGAAAATTGTGCTGGTTATAAAACTTTCTGTGGACTATCTGTAGGTTTATGTCGGTAAACTTGGAAAGCCCAAGAGATGAAGAACATCCAACTTACATTGCTGAAATGGTGTTCAGAGATCTGGTATGCAGGGCTTCCTATGGAAATGTCAAATCTGTCCTCCAGCCTGTACTACGGTGAGCAATGTTATTATTTAGGAAATGAATTATACATTGTGCTGTTAATAATAAGCATTAAGTTGAAAATCAAAACTGAAAAATTCATCTGCTTTTTAGTTAAGTCCATTTTTGGACTCTATTCAAATTTATGTTTATTTCTTTTTCACAGACATATCGACAATCATGGACTCTGGGTGCCAAACGATTTTGCTGTGAAGTGTTTCAAGATAATAATGTACTCTGTACAGGTAAATATTACATAATTATGTTTTTACTCCAGGTACGTGTCAGAGAATTTTGAAAACCTGATTTTAATTTCCCACTTAATTTCTTCAAGCATCGTGTCATTTTTCCCCCGAACTATTTTTTAATGGTGTAGAACATTTGAACTAACATAAAAGAAAGTACAATGTAGATGATGATTGTATGTGGTGTACTTCTTTTAATTCCACCCTCAACAGATACAGCGTGAAGTAAGTTTTCTGAACCTTTTCATGTCGTGAGTGAGTTGGCATGTCAAATTAACTATTTCCTGCAAACCTTCAATAGCTGCCTGTGATAGGCGAAATTTATGCTTTTTATTCAGGAAAATATCTTTTTCTAGGAAACAATTTTTTTTTTTTAAAACATGGTAAAACATACCATTGTCTGTTGGCTCTTTGTTCAGAAATAATGAATATTCTAACAACTGAAACACACAAAGTTAGACATTGCTTTTAAAAGCTACATCCTTCAAGATTTGAACCCGTTTTTAATGCAGCAAATTCTAAGGGAACAAAGATTCCTGGATGGGCTGTATTCAGGGATATTTTTGCCCCATTTTATTTTCATCCTTGCACACCTGTTAACAATTTTGCTCAGTCTAAAATTCACCTCAACACTATTATTATGGAAATTGGGGTTGGATGGTGTGGTGATGTACTGGTATCTGTCTCAAATGGATAATTTCAATGATGAAACACTTAAGAATTCAGATTTTACTAATTATAGCACATGAAGGTATTCTTGTTTTGCTTTGTACTTTTGATGAAAAGTGAAGTATTCATCCTGATTGGGTTTTATTACATTAATTTTTTTGTTGTTGAGTTATTTGATGACCAGTTTGTTTACTTGTATTAAAAAAACATAATATTTTTCTTGCATGTGCAGTAAAAAAAAGGTTTCACATTATTCTTATGACCTAATTTTGGTAATTTACTAAGCAAAAAAAGCTAATGTTTTTAAAATATGTGTTAGATTATTCCTAGTGGATAAATTTTGTTTGTTTGTGAAGTGTGTAGAATAGCTATTGATACAAATTGAGAATAAATTCTGACATACATGTACAAACAAACATACTGACATTCTGTTAAATATTTTCTAAAACCCCAGTTGTTTGATATGCTGGAATCACCATGCTAGTCTGTCTGTACATTCCTCTTTGTTTCTGGATTATAAATTGTTCTCATTACAAACATAAAAAGCCCATACTTGGAGCCAAGTGTACTGGGATTTTGTCTTTGCCTTCATCAAAGTGATTTGGAGAAGCTTGTCACAGGATTGAGATTACAGTGTTATTTTTTTTTAACTTTATCACATTGAGATTATTGCTGCCACAGTTTTTTTTTTTTCATGGTGTGAAATTGTGTTGCAACTTTGAGCCTAGGTCACAAAGACAAGGGCACTGAGAATGAAGAAAATAAATAACTAAGAATTTAGAGATTTGTGGAAGCTCATGTTTGATTAGAGAGTGTGGCAATATACTGAGTATTTCTTCTGAATAATTATGAATCAGTATGGTACTGGTACTTGAAGACACTGAATTTGATTTTTTTGTTGCATGCAAAAACTTTGAAAAATAATATGCATCTAACTTTATCAATACATCTGATTTATATGAATTTTCTTGAATTCTGTTATGAAATATTAATCTTATAATGGGTACTTAATTTTCCTATGTTCATATCAGTATATTTTTGTTTCTTGTATCAAGTAATCTTTTTCCTTTGTACATGCAAAACATGTAACTATATTGTTTCCCTTATTCCAAATCACTCTAAACAATGCACATCTTAAGCTTAAAAAAAAATTATACAATGTAAATTGTTTATTCTGTTTGTCTATCAAATTCCAGGCTATAAGAAGGGCATTGCTTTTATTTAAAAGAAATGTGACCAAATTAAATTTTTCAGCAGCTTTTTATTCAACAGCTTTATTTTCATATGCACTTTAGAAATTCAACAAAATTTGAAGTAATTTTTTTTTATTGTATCATGTGCTGAGCTGATAAGTGATTTGAATAATTTTCTGTACAGTCAAATTTGAGCATCGTCTGCAAATGTTTACATTTCTTTTTAAATTTCAGCAACAGTATGGTTACCTAGTTATCCAGATGTTGATGTCACACCTTGACACACATACCAATAGTGACCCCGGCATCAAGGCCAGCATTATAGAGGTTCTGTATGAATCTGTTCTCATCTCTGCTGGAGGATCTATAGGTCAGTATATTACCTCTTGGTCTTACTAATACCAGTACATCATCAAACACTGTGGGTTTTAATCTGACACTACTCTTACAAGCCATTGGCTGCATTGGTCTGAAGTTGCTCATTGTTTTGTGTATTTTAATGCATTTTGAGATACACATATGATGCATTTTTGAAGATAAAGTCAGTTGGAGTGGGTCATTGAACATTTATTATTGGTTGTATTACATTGTTGTATTGCTTTTAATTACGATATCCTTTCAACTTAACAACAGGGCCTTCTGTGTTAGATGTATTTAATACTCTTCTGAGACATCTGAAGACATCTGTGGACAATAAAAGTTCTGACAGCAAGAAAAGGGCAATGGAGGAAAAGTTTGAAGAGGCCATCATTAGTACCATAGGTATATTATCAGAAAATGCATGTTATTTTCCTCTAGTATTCAATTTTAGGTCATAGTTGTGTGATGCCATTGAGTTTTACATACAATTATATGTTCTCTTAACAGGTGAATTTGCCAACAATTTGCCAGATTACCAGAAAATAGAAATAATGATGTTTATTATGGGGAAATTTCCACAGTTTGGTCAAAATGATGAGATGGGGTAAGGAAATTCATATAAACTAAAAAATAAATGATTCTTGCATCAAAACAATTTTTTATGAAGATAGCTTATTTGAGTTTACTCCCTTTACAGATCTTCTGTGGACAACTACCTACAAACCATGCTCCTTAAAACTTTACTTAAGGTTTGTAAAATAGACATGCTTTTGAAATTTTTAGTTTATTTTTATTTATTCAACAATCATTTTGTTGATTTTTATTGTACAAATGAAAGCAAATAGACTCCACATTTTCTTTTTCCTCCTGAAAGGTTGCCACTAAATACAAGACTGTGATAATGAACAATGCATTTCCTCCCGAGTTTCTTCAGCCATTACTTAGAATCTCACTGTTAGAGGAGCCAGGATTACGCGTTGTAGTGCAGGAGATATTACACACACTGTTAGACAGACACGATAACGCCAAGAAACTTAGAAATGTGTGGTAGGCCTCTGTATTTTTAGTCAAAATAAGTTAAAGTAGAGAATAAATCATTTTAAGATAGATAATCCTGGGTTATGGCATATTGAAAATTTATTTTATTGTTTCCTCTTATAGTATTCCTAAAGATGTTGTCGCAGAGCTGGACTTGACTGTGGAAAAAGTTCCAAGGCAAGACAGTCTATTCATGAAGAAGGTACATAAAATATTAAAATTGTCAAATATTTTGAATTGAATTCTTGATTGTGTGTTTATACAAAGTAGATGCAACATATACATGTACTTTAAGTAAACTGAATATTTTCTTTAGTAAATAGTACATGTGGTACTAAAAAACATTTGATCTTTTTTAAATTTTGAAGTGGATTCTTTTCTGATTATTTTATTAAATTTTAATGTATATTTATTTCTTTGCAGAATGGAATACAGTTTTATTGGCATATCTTAGAGAATTTACAGATGGAATCCAACAGAGTGGCTAACTTTGAAGCCATTTACTGCACAATGTGCCTCATATCTATTGAGATGGGTGGAGATGACATTCTAGTAGAGCTTATAAGATTAGCTCTTGATATCCAGGTCAGTCAGAAAGCATTTTCTTTCATCATAAATGCTTTGATTGTATAATTTCATTCAGGTTTTGTGGTCATTAATTAAACTTAGATGCAGAGCTCACTTTTGATCTCAGTCTCACTTCACTGTATATTCCTTTTCATAAAATTGAGGTTAAGATCAAAAGTGATTTTGGCATAGTTTATGGCCCCAGAGCCAGTTTTAGTACTAAAGGTCTCTGTTAGAAGTGTTTTAGAAAATAATATATAAATGAATTTTCCACACATAAATGCAGTATTACTGTTGATTCACCCTCTTATTGTCCTGATCTTGTACTGTAGCAAACGACCCTGGAATCCAGTCTGCCCAGTACTCACAAATGTTGTAACCATGCTATCGTGGCTGCCTACCTCAACCTGGTGGCACACATCACCAACATGTCACCACTGGTACAGTACCTGTCTGATGTGAGTATTGCCGTCTATTTGTTTCTCTTTGCTATTTCTTTTATTTAATGTGAAATACAATCCATTTAAATTCATTATAATTCATAACCATCTACTTTAAATGGTAACCTGCTTTGATTTTTTAAAGCTTTATAATTTTTACTTCATATCCATTATCATTGTTGTTTATTAAGATCTTGCACTTCATTCTATGAAATGTTTTGTATTAAGTTTTCATCAGACTTTTATTTTGTATTATATAGCTGGTAGAGGTGAGAAAGAAGGAGGCCAGCCACCTACTCCCAGAGTTTGCTTTCAACAGAGCAAACAGACCCACAAGGTAACCTAGTTAATCAGCTGTTTGATATCATAATGGGAATTTTGATGTGTTTCACTTTCATTTGTGTTAAACTTTGTTGAGTTACAAACCTTTTAATTGTTACTACATTGTATTGATTTTTCATTCATTTTCATTGCTGGAAATGTAAAAATATATAGATAGTTTATCAAAATTTCTCAACAAACTATTTTGGGTGGTTTTTAAAGAAAATTTATTTTAAACATAGTATATATGTTTTATTTTTATCCATTTTTATTCCTAATGCTTATATTAATTTATAAAGACAATTTTTTTCAACTGAGTATTTTCATCATTTATTTCATGTTTGTCATTTCTGAACACCATGCCTTCCAAGTTTCATTTTTTAATGCTAAAAATGGTTTCAAGTGTGTATATAACTTGAACCCTCCTGAAATATTAATAACACTTCATTATTTGGCATGTGTCATTCATTTGTTTGCTGTGAATTTCCTTAATAAGCATTAATTCACTTCCGCAATTTAACAGAGATGAAGAAGCTGAGTAAGTAACTTTGATTCCCATTACTAACCCTGCATCGTTAGATATCAAACTGGAATGCCATATTGTAACATTATACATAGCTTTTAACAATCTACACTTAAAGCATTAATTCAAGGAACCAGTATCCCAAGTTGTAAATTACGATAGATATGTGTGTTCTGTATCATAAACATTTAATACCAAGAAAGGAAACATTAACAAATATGTATCTTTACTGGGTATTTATGTTCTTTATGATAGCCCCAATAATTTTAAAAACATTAAAATGACCAATTTCAATGCAAATTTTGTTACCCCTATTTTTGAGGTAATACCCAGTAAGTTGGTAAGTTTTAGGCCAATGCAATGGCTTCATGTAATCCTTTTGTAGACCAGAAGTTTTAGCTTTAAAATGTACCAATATATTCAGTGTGGAATTTATGAATGATTGCTATTGGCCAATCTAATTAAAATCGTTTTATTTATTCGAAGTACGACACTTTTGTTATACTAACATCTAAAACCCAATAAGGGTCACGATTGGTCAAATTGCAACAACTCTAGACTTATTCGCTTCGATATATCAACAAATATCCGATGATTTTGCCAGCGAAAATTTGATTGGTTGATAGATTATTTGGCATGTGTCTTCTTTGTTTGCTGTGACCCTCTATAAGATGTTGTTAGATGTTGGTGTAGAAGCTGAGTATGCGAACTGGATTCCCATTACTAACATCTAATTTTAATTAGATTGGCTGTTGGCCATTTTACATGTACTTAACACAATTGGACTTGATTGCTATTGGCCAATCTAATTTTAAATTATGTTAGATATGTGTGTTCACACTCGTACACTAAACATTTAATAACATCAATAAAGGTCACATTTTATGTTTATCTTTATGAACAACTCTAGACTTATTCGCTTAAATAACGTTAACAAATATCCGATGATTTTGCAATGCGAAAATTTGATTGGTTGATATTTTTGACCTAATACCCAGTAACCCTTCTTTGGTAAGTTATGGGATGTTGTTAGATGTTGGTGTAGCGAGTATGCGAGTGGATCTAACATCTAATTTTAATTAGATTGGCTGTTGGCCATTTTACATGTACTTAACACAATTGGACTCAGTCATCAAACTGACCACAACTGAAAACAAAATGTTTGACTTTATTTCTTTGTTGGTCTTCTTGCCTCTATGGATAAGATTTGTTTTAGAATTGAGGAGGAAATGATTCCATATCTGCTGAACATTGTTAAACACAACTATATACTGATAGAGTTGTTTATGTTCTAAAAGCATGATTGTCCTTTTTTTCCACCAAAAATTTTGTGCATTGTCAAACAGTATTCAAAAGTTTGTATTAAGGTTTTTGTTTTTTGTTTTGCTACTTGTTGAAAGAGTTTACAAAATGCCAGTTTTAGGTGGAATTGCGTACATGTACGTATTTCAGTATCAGGTATACAATTTATTACCTGATGTTTACAAAGGTTGAAGTGTATGCTTTAGAAAAATTTTATCCTCAAACAGAGCATGTTTTTTTTATTTCCTTCTCTTTTATTTTCAAATGAAATTTTGTCATTGATATAACATTAAACAAACCAATAAATTACAAACGTAAAACATGCATGTTTGAATGGGCCATTACAATCGTATACAGAAGAAATAACAAGAGTCTTTTTCATGCAATATTTTAGATCTTTTGTAATTTCATATACATGTATCAAAAAACATTTTGTTTCATAGATACTCTTATTGATTAACTCAGATGGAGCTTTCATATGATTTTAGTAAAATATCACTATTCACCTCAGTGCAATCCCTGTATTCTGGATAATGCTATTCAGTCACTAGAAAGAAAAAAAATCCTTTATTGTCTTGAAAAAAAACACATAATAGCTATGATGTGAAGAAGGAAAGAATAAATGTTTTTATTTTTCGCAGCTATCCACAGAATGATAAGGTAGAAGACAGATGGTTGTTGGATCAGACAACATTACAGGAAATCCTGACGGATTGCGGTCATGACGCCTCCCGTCTTAGTTCCCCCCTCGCTCTCAGACCACACAGCTCCATGGGTAATGTCAGAAATTAATTTTTAGTATCTCAAAATAATTCAAAGAAACACAGTTGAGTTTCATATGAACACTTTTTCTTATATTTATTCACAGGTGCCGTGATTCATGGTAAAAAAAATGCACCTTGTTTACACATTAACTTAAGCCAAGTAACACAGTTCATGTATTTAATTTTAACAGTAATTTTTAAGTGCATCCTGCTATACCCCCTCCCCCAAAGTTTGCTTTGACACCCCAAAATAAAGAAGTAGGTATGAGCCCTACCTGAAGCAAACTTGCATTGAAGAGGCATTTGAAGTGTTTACTACCAAGCGTGCTCTGCATCTGACCTATATTTTCTGGATGAGTGACCCAGATTTAAGTTTTTATGAGCAAGGTTAGTTCTAGTTAGCTAAAACCCCTATTTTTACCAACATTCTGGTTGATAATACATCTAGGGATGGGATGTACACTACCAGACTAACTTTGGATGTTGCATCTGACATATTTTTTGGATTAGTAGCTACTAGCTAGTTATTAAAGATTTGGTCAAGATTCTTTCCAAATAACTACAGAGACTATACATGTATGCATGATGATTACTCTAGATACATGCATTGATCTTCTAGTGATGTGCATTTTTTTGTTGTTTTAAAATTAACATAGAGTGATGAAATTGCATCTAACTAATGGGACATGCTGAATTATCATTTAATGCGAGACTTTTGTCTTACTTATAGATACCGTTCGTCGAGGTGAGCTTTGGAATTTTCGATAACTTATATTTGTTATTTAGATTTATTTTCAGTTTTCTCTCAGGAAGAAAGAACTATGCTCTGTTCTTGCGTTGAATTTTTTTTAGCATTTGATCGATTTGTTCTAGCATTCCTGACTAGCATTTCTGCATTTAAAAAAAAAATTAAGAAAATTAAAGATGATTTAATAATTATGATTTCTTATGTATAACCTTAAAGCTACACAATCTTTTCCCTTCTAAGCCTATAAATGTGGAGATTTTTATGTGTTCTAGAATATGATAATTTTTGGGATTGACAATTGATGTTATTTACATAAATCCTACATATATTTCCAAAAGGTATACAGTCTAATAAAGTTGAGGAAATATTCTTGCAAAAAAATTACTTTTCACTTAACCACTTCAACGTAAAAATTTCCACATCTATCGAGTCACCACACTGCTTTTTGCTGCAGTACATGGAATAAGAAATGCATTTTCTTCATTCAGTGTGAAATAGAGAACTTTTTTTGAAATATATTTTGTTGATTATTGAATATTGAGGATTAGAATTTATTTGATTTTATATCAAGATAGGCTTGATAATAATTTGGATATACATGTATCTTGTTTTATAGACTCAGCTATGGCCAGCAGTATAAGTGACCTAGGTTCCATTAACATAGAACTCGATAGCCTTGAGAACTCACCATTGTTAGCTCGAGTGAGTACCAAGTGAGACTGGAATCTCATTTACAACCAAGTTCTGATTTATCAGACCTCATTTAAATGTAATCTAATCTTCTTTTGTTTTTCAGAAAAAGGTTGAAGAGATAACAGTAGAATCATTAAAGAAGATGTTAGGTATGGAGGTTCAGGGTCAATTTCTGACCAAGTTCTTGTGGTCTACCTCAAAATATTAAATTGTACCATAATGTACATCTGTATTTATATAGCTGTTTCCAGTTCTGAAATCACTCATCCAGTAAAATGCCAGTAAATGCAATAAAAATGCCATTAAAACTAGATATGAGGACCTTTGATATTAAAAATATCTCCATGCTCAACCAAAATAGATGTACAAACATTGAAAAAAACTTTTGTTTTAATATCAATATATGCATCTTTGTGAAACTTTTTACAAAATATCATTCTTGACAATACTGTATTACAGCTGAAGACCCATCTCAGAAGCGGGAAGAAGAAGCCAAGAAAAGACAGGAAATATTTGAAACATTCCAGAACGCACCTTTTGAGGAAATTATAGCCAGAGCTGAAGCTAAGGTAGAAATCATGTAATAGCCCTTATTTTTAAGAGGACAGTTGATGATAAAGATTTAAAGTAGCAATACAATGATCAGCTCTACTGATCTTAGACCAGAAAAAATTGGCATAAATAAAATGTCTATTGTCTCTTCATCTTAAAATGCTACCTTCTCCTGCATACATGATTCTCTCTGTCATATTTTATATACATGTAATTATATCAAAAAATTGCAATAAATCTTTTTTGTTTCAGTCAAATCACTTCCATGAAAAGCTGTACGAGATTTTAGAGATGACTCCACCAGAAAGTCCAGACCACGCGAAGGGAAACCAGAATGCTGTGCCTGTGTTTGAAATGCAGTTCCCTAGTCTCTACGTTTACTAATTCACTTCTTTCAAAAATGTCTTTTTTATATAAATGAACTTACACAGCATTATTTATTTAATTTATTGTCAAAGACTTTATCTATCATAAGCAAGCAAACACTGGTCTACTGATGGAAGCTGATGAAGTAAATTTGTAATTTGTGGTATTTGTTTGGAGATGAAGTAAATTTGTATCCATTTCAGTATTCCTCACACATAATGTTTTAAATTTTTTACCTAGGATTTGTTCGAATTATTTAAATGTATAATTTAAATTTATGTTCTGTGCAATAATAGTAGCCATCTACTTCTTAGGGTATTATTATAATATTCTAGTGTTTTATTTATTGAATTATCAATGGAAAATGTCATTTTAATTAATAATAGGGAAAAAAATAAATACTGTAATAATAAAATGAATTTGTTTGCTCCTCCTTGTGCCGAAAATAACATGAATTTATATATACTTACATATTTCTTGTAAGGATATGAATAAGGGTTTAAAGCAACATTCACAAGAGGACTTTATCAATTTTATCAAGTTAATTCTTAGCAAATTAGTATTACGAGTATTTACCTTTTGTAATTTATTTCATCTTGATGTCAATGAACATTATTCATTATATTTGGAAATACAAACATTTTTAAGGACAAAAAGTTATATGATGCTTCCTTTTGTTCTTCTTTCAACATTGATCAATGTGATGAACAAATCGGAGAGAAAGACAACTGGTTTCGCAAGTTGCACTTTATCCATACACTGGACTCATTTTCCCTTCCTTCATATATTTGTTTCCTCAAGTTACTTTTGATAAGTTAGACAATGGGTTGGGAGGATAAGTTTTCATGTTGTATGATCATTTTAATATTAATTTAAATATTTTAAAGGTTTGATTTAATGTAGAGGTCTTATTCAGACAGATATATAATATTAAAACAAAAGCTAAACACAATGCAGCAAAATACAGGCGTTATAAACAATAGACATGCAAGATCTTCAGAGCTTGAGAAAAAGTGTGACAAGGGAGACAAATCTGATTAATTTATTAGGTGAAGAACCTTTTACAAATTTTTAATCATGTAGGAGAGTGAGTTTTTCTTTTGTGCTTTGGTTTAAATTAAGTTTTCAAATTTTACATGTACTATAGTTTTTATAATGAATTTAATCATGTTTTTAAGTCATTAAAACATTTAATTTTTTCAATGTCAAGTTTACTTGCATGTAATAATTAAAAGTACAAATATTCATTTTTTTCACTAAAAAGTTGATGCTGACAACAGAACACTAATATTGTTGGGAATGGAATGACACCTTCCTTCTGTGGTGACAATTTGTTTCATTTGTTTTGTCAGTAACAAATTAATATTACACACTTTCTATTGAAATTTCATTTATTGATATTGGATATTAGCATCCAGGCACTAATGTTTTTGTTTTCATAACATTGCATGCTAATGTCCAAAATATGTGACAGGAATCCTACTGTGTATTCTAACGCGCGGTGACAAGGTTTTGCGTGTGTTATAGAGATTTGAACGTCATGGATTTCTGATGGATGAATGTAAATATTCAAGAGTGACATTTTATAACATAATAATTAAGTACCAAGTCCAGTCAACATAAATCAACAACTGAACCTGGGATCAAAGCTCATCTGTATTGGTACATGTGTGTATGTGTAAGAGAAAGAATAATTCAGTTTATTACAACTATACTATTATGACCAGATTAATTACTTTGAAATCTACAAATTCTAAAAGGCAACTAACTGCATGTATAATGGAACTGAATTCTTAGCTTGATGGCTGATAAATTTATTTGAGGATACTTCAAACAACCAAATGTATGCAAATTGTATACTATAAACTGAAAACTGAATATTTAGAATACATGTATAAATGCATGCAACCATGCAGATGCTTGTTCCATATTCAGTGAGCTGATTTAAATGGAATTTTATGAGATTGTTAATTTTCATCTTGATATTGATATAACTGACATTCTTTCAGTTAATTTGAACCTTTCATTATATTCTCTAATGTTCAATAGGTTTTATTTTATTCCAAAATTTCCAAAGTTATTAATTTTAATTTACATAGGCCTTATCATGATGGTATATGATGATCGCATATAAGCCTAGGCCTAATGTGCTCTTTTACTATACGTTGAACAACCTTTTAAAACACCCTGTAAGATTTAAAGCAATTAATCAAATATTTTAATTTAAACAATAAATCAAAGCGTATAATTTATCACTTCATTAGTCAATACTTCAGTGATTTTACATTGTATTAAATCATTCTGACTTTTAAAGTCTGGAGCGGCCTACTACTATGGGTCAGTGTGTCGAGTCGCGGAGGAATATATCACGCACTTTGTTATTGTATAGGTCTTATCTTTTTATGTTTTAAATAAAACCATTTATTTTACAGCTACATTTGAATTGTAATTCAAGCCAAATTTTAAGTTAAAAAATTCTCAGGAAACACAAATGTAGAATTTAGACAGAACTATATTTTACGTTAGCCAAACTTCCGGATGTCAGTATTAGGCGAGAGTGAAATGGTGGAATGGACGGTTCAGAAAGTGTAACAAAATTATAACACAGGCTCATCATGGTACAGAAGTACCAATCACCCGTCAGGGTGTATAAACACCCGTTTGAGCTTGTGATGGCGGTAAGTCTGTTGTCATTTTGTATCATTCATCTCTCTTGATATGAGTTTCTTATCTATTTGTTTACCTTTTCCGTTTTCGGTTCGATAACGGATATGTCGATAACTATCAATGACAATATACAAATCTGATTGATAAGCATCGATAGGATTTTCTCAGCATTTGTTGTAATATTTATACGAAATTTGTTTTTCCTGGATAATTTTAATAAAAAGGGAGAAAGAAATAAACATCAAAATGCACTTGAATCAGCTGGTTATCTGGTGATTCAGAGACACAGCTGAGTACCCCCACTTATCCTCCTTGTTACTTGTATGATAGACAGGGTCAGATACAGTTGAACAATCTTTAATTATAAACATGTGAAGAATGTTACAATAGTCTCCTATGGACATTGTTGTCAAAGTATTAACATCTGCAGGAAATAAAAAAAATGTGTATTTTAACTATTTTCCCTTTGCATATTCCACATAGATTTGCATTATAGGAAAACAAAAAAATGTCCGATTATTTTTTTTTGTTCTTATTAAAATGTAAATGGTGAAATTTTTATAGATAATAATAAACAATTTACATTCTGAAAGGTGGTTGGCCTCCCTGGACTAGTTATTTAAAGCATGGTTATCTAATTTTAGGCCTATGAGAAACGTTTCCCAACATGTAAAATGATACCTGTGTTTCTCGGGAGTGATATAATATCAGAGACAAAAAGTAAAGATGGTGCAGAGCATGTTGTAGACAGGAGATGTCGACTTAATGTGGATGCTCCATACATCCTGAAAAAGGTTGGTCACTTGTACAACTGTACAATGAACGTCATATTTGTGACCCCTGTCAAGTTTGGCATTTCTGTTTGAATAATCACCATGTTGCCTTCCAGACATTTTTTTTAACTGGTGACTCGACCATGAACTGTACAAAGACATTCCTCACTTCAGCACACATTATCGCCTTGAAAATAAAATGTTGACAAACATAAATTTCAGTGCTAATTGAGGGCCAGATATAGAAAAAAAAATGCTTAAACTCAATCATTATTTATTGTTTAGAAAGATTTTTTTACCACTAATGAAATAAAGGTTCATCTTGAGTTCATGAAGAGTTTGCCATGAATTGCAGTGATTAGACAAAATGAGCTTCATTACCTGAGGGATTACGTGTATATTTATTAACAGATATTTATATGCTGCTAATTATAAATAAACATGTCATTCACATTATACAACAAAGAGCTTTACGATTTTTTTTACAAACTTTCAAAAAATAACCTGATTGACTACCAAATTAAATTAGAAAATCATCTTTGGTCAAAATATCTGTTGAAACGAACACTTTAATTTATTGATCTGAATCTTTTTTTGGTCTGTAGATTGCAGGAGTCGATCATGTGGTTTTCCGACAAGTGAATGCCTTGGACAGACGCTCTCGAACACTCAGGATAGACGCTCACAACGAGAGTTTCTCCAGCAGGGTCATCGTTAAAGAGAGCTGCTTCTACTCTGTACGTAGTCATTATCTGTCAGACTTGGAGGGAAAAAATCTATAAGTGGTTCATAACAGACAGAAATCTTGTTTCCCTGAGGGGTCACTTTGAGTATTTCTAATTAGTACCATGGAGGAAAATGCACACACAAGTGAGAGCACAAAGAAAACAATGGAAGAAAGCATGTCATACAAACATGGATAAAATCTTGATTAAGAGCATAGAATTGTCAAAAAATATGTCCTATCTAAGATCTGGAACAAGAAAACTGGGTTTTCTACTTTTGAAGCATTGTAAATGTGCTAATTGTCTCTGTTTTAAAACCTGGATGCAAACATTGAATTATTATGAAAATTGTAAATTTCCTAAATTTGGTGAAAAACAAAGGTGTATATTACCAAAGAAACAACCAGAGGACAAGGTAACATGTATGCAACTTTAAACTCTCGGGGGGGAAAAATCTAGTAATGTGTTGAATTTCTCTCCGAAACCTGGCTTTGCAATCAATATATTGATCAAATTGTTAGTATGTAATTGTGTAACTAAATTATCTAAAGATTGCAAGTTATGAGTGGCTGGTCACATTTCAAAGGATTTCCTCAAAGTAGTTAAGAGACCATGGTTCTAATGTGTTAGAAGTCGATATTTTGGTTTCAACTCAATAATTTTCATACAGATTTAAAGAAAAAAATGGAATAGGATATGAAAAATTCATATACCCATGGGCATACTGTAAATGAGATTATCAGTCCTATAGTATACTATATTTAACCATGGACATACATGAAAATGGGTTTATTAATTTTGTCAGCATGTTTTTTAACTTGAGTTGATTTTTTCATTATGTTTATCTAACTAACATACATGACATATAACACATTTTCTTATTAAGATATCTTTTTAACACATTTCTGTTACAAGAATTACTTAATTAAACTGTATTGCCATAGAAAGTATTTTTCCCTCTGAATGCAATTCAACGTACATATTGAATTATATGAACTAAGGAAATTATTTAAAGTGCATGTAGACACACCTATAATATATGTTTGATAAAGTAATATTTACATTTCCAATGTCTTTGTCCGAGATAAAATTACCAAATGTAAATGTACTTTATTTCTCCATCAATGTATTGGCGCGGTTCCAACACACGTAACAAACAGCTAGACAGAAGCAGGGCTTGGAGCACGTATATCAAAGCATGTAAATATAAGGAATAACTGTCAGATTTTTCAATTTCATGAAGATGATCAATCGATTGGCTTGCGTGATAATTTTATGCATAAACGCCTTCGGCGTTTATGCAAATTATCACGCAAGCCAATTGATCACTTCATGAAATCGAAAAATAAGACAGTTATTCCTTAAAAATGCCTTGTATGGTATTTTGAATTGTTAATAGTTATGATTGAAGTTTGGTAACCTTTTGTGATTGATTTCTTTTTCTATGAGTAGGTTCACCCTGAGAATCCAAACTGGACGTGTTTTGAACAAACTGCTAGTCTTGATATCAAATCATTCTTCAACTTCGAGCACATGGTGGAAAAGATTGCCATGAAACAATATGCTGCAAATATCAAAAAGGTAACTTCATTTATGGGATATCTCTTGGGACAAAGATGGCATTTAGAAGTAGTAAATGTGGTAATTAGGCATTTTCACTACTTGAGTCTGTAATGCATAGTTCATAAACACTCTCTTGTGTGACATGAATTTTGAGATGGTTTTTATGATGGAATTGCCATTTGCTGGTAATAATTGCTTCTGCTTTGTCATTTATTACTCTTCAGCATCTATTACAAAAAGCATTATAGAGCAGAAGATTATCATGAAGTATAAATGTATCTGTTATAAATGACTATGAAAACGATAAACAAGTCACAAGATCTCTCTTAGGAATGGCCTACAAGATATAGGGCATTTATTAACTAGGATTACAAATACGTGTACACTAATTTAGTGCTTCTTAATGAACACGATTGTAAGTCAGAGCCATCAGTGTTTACATTCACCACAGATGTGTGAATTTACATGAAGGTGGTAATACTGAATTAATGTACATTTGATTTGTATAAGGTGCTAAAATTAGGATCTGAGAAAATACACTTATAGCTTAGCTTATGCATATACACAGTGTAAAAATTTTATATGCTTGTACATTTATGCAAGAGTTTTACTATGTTACAGGGTAAAGAAGTCATTGAGTATTACATCAATGAATTGATCAGTGAGGGAGTGACATATATCCCTCCTTGGGCCCCAGAGAAAGTTCAGTCCCAGGAAATTGATATTCCCAGTTCTGAAGATACCCCTTCCCAGGACAGCGGTCTACGGAGTCGTACCAACAGTACCGCCAGTCAACATAGCCGTGAGAGCGTTTCTAGTCTCGTCCTGGGAGCTTCAGCAGCCACAATCAAATCTCCTGTCTCTGATGGTAAGAAAACAGAAATTTGTAAATATTACATTGTATTAAATTGAGGTAGAATGTTTATTCTGACATGGACATTTGATTTCTTATGTAAGGCCTGTTCATCAATGAAAATGCTTTATTTACATACAAAATCAAATTTCTGTCCTGTTACAGAGAATGTTCTTTTTACTATTTATTCATTGATAAGGAAGGCACTACTTTTTGAGGAACTCTTATTTAAAATTCTTTTTTTTAAAGTAACATTAATTGGCAAAGGAATGATTAATTGATATTTTTCTGAATGTGTTTTAGGTCCTTCCTCTCCAGATAAGCTGGAGGATGTGTACATTGAGAGATACTTAGGAAATCTATCTTTAGTACAGGAGAGTGCTCTTGTACAACTCCAGCAATGGTTACAGAAAACTCACAAGGGAAAGGTTTGTATTTATAGAATGAATATTATAAATGTGTTCATAATTTGTTAGTGTTGTGACACATAAGTCAGAGGATTTGCATGAGGAAGTATAGTCTTTATTTTATTTCATGAGTACTTTAGCAATGGCACAAAGGATCTGTAAAATTTAAGCAATATTGAGTTATCAGCTCAAAAGACCACTGGTAACATTGGATGGAAGTCTTTTATAGTAGAATAACATTTAAATTAATATCTGGTTCAAATACCTACGTGTTTCATTTGGTATGTATTGAAACTCTTTAGACTAATGCAACTGGAAGACTGGAAGTTATAAATAATGCAATCTTGTTTAATCTGTTGACCGTAATGTGTCTGATATTGATATTATATTGATTGATGAGTTGTTTAAAAAATCAATCTTCACCTTGTTCTTTAACATTTTAACGTGATTTTGTTTGAATTTGATAATCTGTTCTTGTAACCTTTTATATAGTTAATTAAATTTAAGTTATTAAAAGCTTATTAAATGGCCTGTTTTGAAACAGATACCAAAAGATGCTCATATATTACGGTTCCTGAGAGCCCGAGAGTTCAGTGTTGAGAAGGCTCGGGAGATGTTGGTCCATTCCTTGGCCTGGAGAAAACTACACAGTATTGATAAACTGCTAGAGACCTACTCTCCGAGTGAGATATTACAACAGTATTACAGCGGGGGCTGGCATTACTCAGACAAAGGTGGGCATTATACAGGCTAAAAATAGGAATACAGCAAGACTAGCCCTAAAATTGTGCTACTCATATTTGTATGAAATTTCAAATTTAACAGGAGCTTTTGATCTTTCTAGATTAAGTTCATTTCTTTTCAAAATTCTTGTTCAATGCAATGGCAAGGAGATTTTATTTTTTTAAAAATGGTCCAAATTGTAGATGGTAGACCCCTGTATGTGTTGAAACTTGGCCAGATGGACGTCAAAGGACTTATGAAGTCAGTTGGTGAGGAAGCCATTTTGAAACATGTAAGTTGGCATTGATCCTTTCTTGATGCATCTAATCTACTATCTCAGGCAAAGATCAATAAAGAAAAAAGGGAAATATTGATTTATTGGAAAATAAATTTGAATTTATAAATTTGTTATTAGGTTCTGTATGTAAATGAGGAGGGGCTCAGAATAGCAGATGAGGCCACCAAGTCACGGGGTTATCCTGTCAGGTGAGTAATGAGGACAAAGGTCAATAGGTGGAAAAGCCCAGCTGCGATTGGTGATCAGCTTTTTATCATAATGCTTGCAGTTATGTCCCTTTATACAGCATACCTTTATTGCTTTTCATTATTACTTGATGTAATGGTGAACATTTAATGATTCAGTGTTTGTTACTGATGTAAAAATTGTGCTGGGTTTCTTCAAACAGGTCTGATGATGGTCTGTTTCCAAGGTAACTGAGTGATGTAACAAAGTGTTCTATGTATTCCAATCTAACTGACTGATTTTCAGATCTTTACAACAGCTTATATTATAGCTCCTAGCTATTTGTATACTCTACATTGTACTCACCAAGTGTCAGGATCTAGTTTGATGGATTATATGAGATTTGAGGAAATTGTGCTTGATCTGTTTGAATTTTTTTTGCAACAAAAATCATTATTATTTTTAAAATAACGTGTGATTTAAGAAAAGAACTATTTCCCAGCAGAAAACAGAGTCAAGTCTATTGTGCATTTCTTTTCAAGTCATATTTCAGGGTCAAAGAGTATTTCGTGAAGCCATTTTGAATTTTTCTACGCAACTTTCTAGAGAATGTAGGGCACTGAAGTAATATCCCCCTTTAAAAGTGCTTCACCATAGGGCAGTGTGAATTTAGTGTTGTACATTAGAAAAGCTTGAAATAGAGGTGCTTAGGTTTAGTCTTATCCACAGATAACTGGAAGCAAATGTGGATAAGTGTTTGGATATTGTCGCTTTTAGGGAGTATTTAAGCAGAGTTTTCCTAGTAAGAAAAATGGAGTGTTTCAATGGAGTGTTTCATCTTAGATGGTATATATATTTACATGTATTGTAGATGTATAATTAAACAGGCAGTTAATCAGTGCATGAGTATATGTAACATTTATATAAAATTAATACATACTAGTATATTTAATAAAATATTTTAGATTCAATGTATATCAATTTTTTTTATTACGTTTCTAGATACCGGTACATATATGTTTAGCATTTCTATAAACAGAGAGAAATGTTTATCATTCTGTGGCTCTAGTTCTATTTTGATAATTTTGAAAGAAGTGTAAAGAAGTGAAGTCAGTGTAATGTGTATACTTCCCAGAAAATGATAGCATTGATAGATAAATCTGTAATAGGACACTGTGTGTGACTCTGGCAGTTTTGCATTCAGGTTGAGATTAGTTATCATGTCTTCTTTGCATTATCTTGGTTTCTTGATGATTTTAAAAATATTTTTTTGTCTTTCTGATAATTGTATATATCTGTGATTGATATAATTTGTCCATTTTAAATATTTTGATGTATATTGTATTGGATTATGTATTTCGCAGATCGTTTACTCTATTAGGCAATACCATATACATGTATGATAAAGCCCAACCATTATTTTTGTCTGGGACAAACATTGCTGGTCATATCCTAGATGTTTTTAATCTTACTGCAATTAGCTCATTTACAAGAACAATTTAGTAAAATAGAATACCCATCAAATGTACAGTAAAATTCAATGACAAGAAAATCACAGTGACTGAATTTAGCTTTCTTATATCCAGGATTTCTTATAGCTTTATAAGGAAAAAAAACTGCAAAGTCATCAGTGAAGTTCATGAAAGTTTCCCAATAACCAAGATTTCTTGGTAATTAAGTTCTTTTTAAATAAGCAAGTTCTACTGTACATTTTTAAACCAAATACATGCAAGACTGTGAAGTTCATGAAAGTTTCCCTATAACCAAGATTTCTTGGTAATTGAGTTCTTTTTAAATAAGCAAGTTCTACTGTACATTTTTAAACCAAATACATGCAAGACTCTGTGAAGTTCATGAAAGTTTCCCTATAACCAAGATTTCTTTGTAATTGAGTTCTTTTTAAATAAGCAAGTTCTACTGTACATATTTAAACCAAATACACTTTGTACATGCTAGACTCAACTTGGCTTGTCATCAGAGCAGTATGACGGGTGTTAGTTATTCAGGTCCAATTATATTTTTAGTGGTATATGTACATAGTTTATACATCTTGAAGTATAAATCTTAATAAATGTGTTACTAAGATTCAGCGTGAATGACATTTTATTTTTCTTTGAAGACTTCTGTGTATCGGGTAAGATTCAAGCAAAACAAAGAATTAGATTCCACTACTGTTACAATGTACTGCTGTTTGGTTGTCTTTCTATTTGTAGTTTATTTCAAGACACTAATTGACACTGTCAATGTAATAGGAAGCAGTAAGAATTAGCAAAGAGTTCTAAATGTTGCACATACATTTTTAATATATTAAAATTATTATCCAGTTATTTACCGGTACTTTGATTTTTAAAGAAAAGAAGTTGTGTACTTTTGATAATTCATGTTATTTAGTCTTTTCTTAAAACAGTTAGTTTATAACTGACAAACCTAAGCTGATAGACATGGGTTGGGAGTGATGGGTTATGTCTGACATTTGTAATAGTTTTTACATGCTTGTCATGAATATTTCCAAAACAGCTAAAGGGAATTTCTGACAGACTTAGAGCACTGAAGCACTAGAGCTCTGAAGACAAAATTTTCCCTAGACCTAGATAAAATAGTGTTTTGCCACCCTTAGTGTTTTGTCTTTGCAAGGAAGGGTGACTTAGCATTTCTTGAACGTTTTTGATACATCTTTGGTATAAGAACCTTTTAAATTAGGACTATATTTACAAGTATATCGAGGAGATGTGCTCATTATACTGATTTGTACATTTTTGTTATAAATAATGAAATTCACACACTGACACTGACATTGACAAACAAATTGAAGCAACACCTTTTATTTTTATTGTAAATGTTAAAATCTCTAAAATTGTCATAATTGAATAAGTTTTTAAATTGGTCACAAACTGTTTTCTTGAACATTTTTTTTTTTTGGATGTTTTGTGGCATTTTTTTTTATCCACAAATTCCTTTAAGTATGAGTTTCCAGAAACAAAAAAAGAATGAATTAAAATTTATCATATTTTATGAGAAATATATAATATGATTATTCTATTTATGTAATTTCAAATCTTTTCTCTTCACAGTGCGTGTACATGTATAGTGGACCTAGAGGGACTCAGCATGAGGCATTTATGGAGGCCAGGAATCCGAGCCCTGCTACGCATCATTGAGGTGGTGGAAGCTAATTACCCAGAAACCATGGGGAGACTTTTAATTGTCCGAGCCCCCAGAGTGTTTCCTGTGTTATGGACTCTTGTGAGCCCTTTTATTGATGAAGATACTCGCCAGAAATTCACATTCTATGGAGGAAATGATTATCAAGAGCCAGGAGGACTGAGAGATTTTATTGATGAAAAATATATTCCAGACTTTTTGGGTGGTGACTGCTATGTAAGTATGAGATACAAAGTGAAATGAGTTTACATTTGATCCTCCTGGAGTATTTTTCATCTCTAATGTTAGGTGATTGTTCAGAAATGGAGTCATTTTCATGAAAATGTTGCCCACGGGTTTGATTTTCATCTATTTGTTTTCAGTGTGATGTACCAGATGGTGGTTTGGTTCCCAAGTCTCTCTACAAAGAAGAATTTCAGGACAAATCTCCAGAGGGCCCCCCTCTCAGTATTGATAGCTGTTACAACACTAGTCACGTAGTCAAGGATTATCCTCACGAGGTAAGAAACCTATCAGTATAGATAGCTGTTACAACACTAGTCATGTAGTCAAAGATTATCCTCATGAGGTAAGAAACCTATCAGTATAGATAGCTGTTACAACACTAGTCATGTAGTCAAAGATTATCCTCATGAGGTAAGAAACCTCTCAGTATTGATAGCTGTTACAACACTAGTCGTAGTCAAAGACTATCCTCACGAGTTAAGAAACCTGTAAGTATTGATAGCTGTTACAACACTAGTCATTTAGTCAAAGATTATCCTCACGAGGTAAGAAACCTCTCAGTATTGATAGCTGTTACAACACTAGTCATTTAGTCAAAGACTATCCTCACGAGGTAAGAAACCTCTCAGTATAGATAGCTGTTACAACACTAGTCACGTAGTCAAAGATTATCCTCAAGGTAAGAAACCTCTCAGTATAGATAGCTGTTACTACACTAGTCACGTAGTCAAAGATTATCCTCACGAGGTAAGAAACCTCTTCTCCATGGTCTTTTAACTCACACATTTTGGTCATGCACATAATTTGTACTTTCCAGATTTTCTTCCCTTTTTCTTATAAAATTATTGTTTTGTTATATAGTTAGACTTGATGCATACAGATTTAAAAATGCTTGGCATTTGAACATACAAAAAAGGTTTCAGTTTATATCTCTAAATTTCTTCTCCACTTTCTTTCTTCAGGTATTGATTCAGGTTCCTCAGAAAGGATCAGTGATAACTTGGGACTTTGACATTCTGAAAGGTGATGTCACCTTTACTGTTTTACGCTGTAAGCGGTCCATATCAGCTGACCCATTTCATCAGCATCACGTCAGCACAGCCACAGGAGGAATCGGATCTGTACAATATATTGATAAAAACATGCAAGTGGGTCCAGACCTTAGTATTGTGGAAAGACCTCTTATATGTAGGGACGGAGATAGTGTACAGGTGAGAAGTGCCTTTGGATTGTGCTTAAATATCTAAAAATATCTATCTTGTTAACATCAAATTTAAAGAAGAAGGTGTTTCAAACTCCCCTGGGCCATAGAGAACAGTGATTTTATTTTTTGTATAAAATATGCTTCTTGTATATCCTGTTTTGTACATGTATTTTTTTTATCATAAGTTGCATGAACTAATACTTTTTCTGAAATATAAGAAGTTTTTGTTTTGTTTCTTTCAGGGATCTCATGTTGTTAGTGAATCGGGAAGTTACATTCTACAATGGAAGTACTTTGACTCAGCCAAGACTTCCTTTGACTTTACTCTAGCACCACATAAATCCAAAGTTATGTACCACACTGAACTGCTCAGATCAGAGGCATTCAGGTTTGTATGCTCATAACAGTGAACCGTAAGCAAGATATCTGTTTTCATCAAGACATTTCAATGATTTTTTAATGCATTTATCAATGTTATTTGTGCAAGAAGTTTGAAAATAAGATTTAAAAAATTATCTGAAAAAATCGGTTCTGAATCATGTCTGTCCATGGTTAAAATCGGTCAACAAAATAAATCTACTTGTGCATTCTCAGGATGCATTAGTCATCAGTTAATGTCTTTGAGTTTACAAAATTAGTATTATTTTACTAGGGGTTCAATGAGCAGCTTACAATCCTATCACAGTGGTTCACTCAGTAGCCGGGCATCACAGAGTAGTTTGACTGGTTCCTTAACTAGTCCCGGGCCCTCATCCAACCCTAACAGGTAAGATGTAGTAAACGAGGAATGTGTTTGAAATGATTCTTGAATTTGTGTTTAGTGTAAAGTCAGTATAAGGGCTTCTTATTTGTTTTACTAAACTGTAATTTTCCACCAGAAAACTCAAAATCCTTACTCTCTTCATGATCAGGTTGGTGGATTCATCGAGATTATCCCGACACTGAGATGCTGCAGCAAGTCATATCCTATAGTTTTATCAAAGAATTGTTAACCTTATATACTTGTTAAGTTTTATCCATACATATTTACATGTACTTTTGAATTTTTATACATTGTTTCAAATATATGTAGAAATGAATGGATTTTAGTATCAAAAGTGAATACAATGTAATTTGTTAGCTATTTTCTTGATTGCAGTTTCAGAATAACTTTATTCTTGTTTTGAAGTGCAGGACATTTTTTTGATGCAGGCAGTTTGTATGATGAGTTAAAAAAAAAGGTGTGTAATAAATTAATTTCTTAAGAATGTTATGAAAAATGAGCATTTGTAGTAGATGTTTTCTCTATAGAATCTTTAACTTCAACATTTGAATACTTAGTGTCACAAGTTCAGACAAGTGCCATATTTAGAATGTGAAAAAAAGTAGAAGTAAGATCTCAGGAAGATTATTGTCTAAATTCTCTTATTAATACTAAACCATGTCTTGCTTGTTTAACAATCAGTGCAATGTCTAGAAAAAAAATATTAATAAATGTTGATTTTGGTTAGATATTAGAGAATTCAAGATGTCTTGGATATCAACTTTACTATTAGATTTATGTAGGATATCATTAGAGATATCTGAGATATTTGATTTGTCTAGAGGGTATCAAAAGAGATGCTTAGGATACCATAAGTGATATCTTAGATAGGTAAAAAGATATCCAGATATCTTAAGAGTTATCTCTGATACCAGTCTAGAATTTCATTTTTTACATCTAAGAGAATAATTGTTTTTGTAAACTAGTGCTTGGTGACAATTAGAAAGTGACAGATTTCATAGGGTGGTATACATTTAAGAATGTGCATATGGAAATTTTCTTCAAGAAAAATGTATAACTGATTTGTATTTCAGTGCTGAAATATTCTGAGAATGGTTAGAAGCTGTTATTTGGGAATTTGATGTTTTGTGTTTACTATACATTGAAAGTTGTTACAACTAGAACATTTTTCATTTTTTAGCATGCATTGTATATTGAGCCTTTATTGTTATTTTTAACATTTTTTTCATTCTGGAGAAAGCCCTCCTGGAAACAATGCAAAGTCGCATGAAATTCACTTTACAATATATTTTTTGTTTCAAGTACCAAAAAACCTGACCATATCATGAAATACAAAAGTACATTTTCCTGAGTTGACTCTGTATTAAACATATTATTACTCTCCATCCATATCAAACTTGCCATAAATTTCTACATAGTTTTACAAATTTTTTGACTTGATGCTAAAGCATTACTCTTATATGTACAGTAAGAGATTCTTATGATCTTTGTATTATAACTCATTGATTTTGAAATTACCAAAGATGTTCTTTTTATGGAATTTTGTCTTGGTTTCTGTAACTTTTTATACAGAGTTAGTTGTAGGGCTATGATTGGTTAAATATTGTCTATGGGCAGATCTGAGACAAATGGTTGAGTACAAGAAAGTAAAGATCTTTTTGAGGCATAGGAAAGGGAAATTTAAATTCAGCATTGATTTATGAATCTAGTCAAAGGCAAATTAAAGATAATCATTTCTCTTCAGTATTAAAGAAAGATTTTTTGACAAGAACTTTCAAAAGCATTCATATGCTCTTAATTTGGATTTGTCTTAGAAAGTTTTATTCACATACTGTAAATCATACTTTATTCTCATACTTTTAAGCCTGATTTATCAAAAATTTCAGAAACTTTTCCTCAAATATTCCATGATTGACTCCAATTTTAATTGTGCAATGGAAACAAAAGTTAATGTTCTGCCAAAAAATACTATTATGCCAGTACCAAATTGAGTTCTTATCAAAACTGTATAGTTTAGGTATACCACAGTGCAAGGTTTCATATTTTTGGTAGATGATTAAGTGCTTGTTGACACTTGCTTCAATCTGAAAAGTGATTGGATAGATACAGAATTGTTTCGATACACAACACTTACTGCTGAATTTTAATCTAAAATTATTTTTTTAAATAAATCTTGTTAATTCCTTATTTAAGGTTTCAGTGCTTTATATTTAATTTTCCTTGTTGCTCACTTCATACTTGGCAATATCTTTTTCCGAAAGGCTTGCTTTGAAATACATGTAAAGTTTTTTTTTTTTTTTTAATTATTCAAAAATGCATTTTATGGGATTAATAACTACACTACCTCTCTTTGATCAGTGTCGTATTTATTGTAGTGCAGGCTTGATAAAATTCAAAGGAATTGTCAAATGAAGAGATTTAACTAGACTTATTGAACATTTATTTGATAGTCATATCTCTGTCACGTTCTTTCCTATGTCATATCAAGAATATTTTTATTCTATTCAAGGTCTTCCTACTTTTTTGGACCTTTTGAGCTTCATATACAATTCAAAGATTTATGATATCTGAATGGTTCAAGTGTGTTCTGTACATTTATGTATGTGTAACAGTTGTTCAAATCAAGGAGTGAACAATTTCAGTATATCATGAGGTGTACAAATTTTAATACCAGGTATTTTATTTTGAATTCAGTAGCACAAAATCATCAACTATCTTTATGCACAATGAAAATATTAAATTCAAAGTTTATATGTTAAAATTGTACATATCCAAAACTATATCTTAATCTAGAATCTCTTCTGAATATGTCAGGAATATGACCTCCTAGCTGCATGTAAAGTGAATACAAAAAAGTATTGTATATGACTTGATTTAATTTATTTCATATGTATATACTATGTTACCTTCCAGGCATTATTTTTATCAAAACTCCAGACCAAATATCACAATATTTTTACAACCCACTAACAAGAAAGAGTCTGTTTTGTGACTTAAGTTTGACTTTGTCTAGAATGGGCTACTGTTGTTTTGTGAATCCTGTGATAGTTCCGATTTGTGTAGTGTTGGTAAGACAAATGGTTGACCTGTCCAATAATACTTGTCTAGTAATACTGTCATTATTATTAGAAGATGTGTTTCTATACATGTTTTGTATAAGTATAAAATTGTTGAAACTTCACCAGACAGCAATATAGTTATCATCCATTGTCGTTTAATACTTACACAAAGTGAATAAAAACTCATGAAAACTGAATCACTCTTATGATTTTGTACGATGAGTGCAAGTGTACAAAAAATCCAAGGTTTAAGCTTAAGGTGCATATTTATGCTGATTATGGCTGCCCTTTCCAAAATTGTGAATAATTCAGAATTTCATGGCCCCAGGGTACAGGGAAGCTAGGGCGGGGCTACGAGTATATAGATTATATAGTGAAAATGAATGATTTCTTTGAAAATCTTCTTCTCACTCCTGGATATTAAATAAACTAACCAAATACACAGTTATGTTGAATAAGGCTGCCTCTTCCAAAATTTTGAATTTCATAGCCTCGGGGTCAGGGTTCTGGTGTTAGGATAGGGCTCTATTGATTATATAGTGAAAATGCATGAATTCTTTAAAAATCTTCTTCTCTGCTCCTGGGTATTAAACCAATGAACTATGTACATATTTATGATGAGGAAGGATGCCTCTTTTTGAGATTTGTGGATTTCAGGGCCCCTGGGTCAGGGGTTCTTGTGGGATGGTTTGCACAACTGGTTATAAAGTGGAAATACATTTTCTCTTTGTTACTCTGATCTACCTCTGGGTATTAAGTAACCACAAAGTGTATAGTTATGATAAGCAATGGTGCCTCTTTCGAAATTGTAAATTTCATGGCCTCTGGTTTAAAACACGAATCAAATTCAATTGTCGGAAAGTTGTTACATGATACTCAGGTGAACTAAAAGGCCTGTGGCCCCCTTTTGATATTCTTTTACCGGTAGTTGGGGAATATCATCATTCATTTCACTGTTTTTCTGAAAGTTCATCAATGCCATCATCCCTATAATAGTACTAACAGAAGGGCAATATCATCAACTCTATTATTGAAACCCAAACACTGAGGTAATATCATCATTCATATCACTGTTAATACTAATGGTTGGGCAATCAAAATCCCAATTACTGAAATACTATTACTGTTATCCTAACAGTAGAACAATATTAATAATATTATATTATCATCCCTATTTCGGTTATCCTAACAGGATAATATTATCATTCCTATTAGTAAGGCAATATCATCATGCTCAGTATTGTAATCCTGATAGTGTGGCAATGTCAAAATCACTGTTATTTAAAAAAAGTAGGGCAATATCTTCATCCCTATTGCTACTATCCCGACAGTGGGGTAATATCATCATCCCTAATACCATATTTGTTACAGAGATGCAATGTCATTTCGATTACTGTATTCCTAACAATGGGGCAATATCATCATCCCAATTACTGTTCCCCTGATAGGAAGGCAATATCATCATCCCTATTATAATATTCCTTATAGAGGTGCAATATCATTCTGATTAGGCTGTACTGTATTCCTAATGGTGGGGCAATGTCACCATACCAATTACTGTTCTCCAGACAGAAAGGCAATATCATCATCCCTATTTCTGTTATCCAAACATTGGGGCAATATCATAATCCCTATAATTGAAACCTAAAAAATGGGTCAATATCATAGTTATAATATCACAATCTCTTTTACTGTTATCCTAACATTGGGCAATATTATCATTCCTATTACTGATATTCTTACAATGAAGCGCATTGAAGTGGTAAAATTCTTCGTTTGGAAGAAAAGTTCTGAGTCATGTTTTGAAGGTCAATTATAACATAATGACACGCCCATATTTTTAGAAACGAGAAAGTAATATTCGTCGTAGTTTTCGGACATCCCATTTTTCGCGACAAGCATCATGAGTTACACTGAAATGGAGCTTTAAAAAAATTAGAAGAGGGAGTAAGAGATTCCCCGCTTCTGTCAAACACAAATTGCAACGAATATGTACATATCTTTGAACATATCATGTCTATTGAAGTTACCACAACACATGTTTCGGTCGAACACGTGTTTAACCTCAATTTGATTGGCTATTATATTTATGGAAAACCTGTTCTACAGGTATTTGAAGAAACAACTTGACCGTTTTATCAATTTCTAAAGAAATAGGCGTACACTGCTCAAAACGTTCCATTCGAACGGAAAATTTTACCACTTCAATGCGCTTCATTGTACAGTGGGGCAATATCTTCATCCTTATTACTGCTATCCCAACATAGGGGCAATATCATCATCCCTATTACTGCAATCTAACATTTGGGGGAATTTCATCATTCCTATTACTGCATTCCTCAAAGTGGGGCAATGTCACAACCCCTATTACCAAAATTTTAACAGTGGGGCAATATCACCATCCCTATTTCTGTTATCTTAATAACAGTGGGGCAATATCATCATTCTTATTACTATATTCCAAACAGTGGGACAATATCATTCCTATTGCTCTATTCCTAACATTAAGTAATATCATCATCCCTATTACCGTAATCCGAACACTGGGACAATATTATCATTCCTATTACTGAAACTCAAAAAGTGAGGCATTTCCCCTCATCCATTTTACTGTAATCCTAATATTGGGGCAATGTTATAATCT